ATGAGTAAATCTGAGAGACTTTAATTAGAATTGGAGAGGCAAATTCCATTTTCAAGCTTGAGGCTTCCATAGTGATTTGAGTCACCCTCTTGTTCCAAACTTGTGTTTAATTCCCTCCTAGTTCAAAGCTGCAAGCTCACATAGTGTTTTGAGAATGTACTGATTTCTGTCAGATCAGTTTGGGTGTGGTTTCCTTACAAGTCGGTGGGACTGGGTCTGGTCCGGGCCACAGCCCGGCACCAAGGATACCCTTGTGTGACAAGGGGGCCTGTGAGGGACTCTGGCCATTGCATCACCATTGGCAGATGATTGTGTGTAGTGAGGTTGAGAGGAGGGCTGCATGGAGGGCTTTGTAAGAGGACTCACATAGGATGATTAAATAAAGCATTGTTTGGCCCATTTCTAGTGTGTGGCTCTGGGCAGGATACCATGTCTCTAGCCCAAGCTGCCTCATTAATAAATGAGGTTGTCACATGCACCATTTGGCCTGGGTCTGGGCATGTAAGGAACAATCATCCTATGTCATTGTCATTAGTATTCAAAAACATTTTTTAAATTATGAAATGCATGATATGTGAAGATAGTTATGTAAGAGCCATACATTTTTGAAAAGTAACAATCAAATTAAAGTCTCTAACATAGGTTATGAAATGAAAAAGTGCAGGGACCAGAGAGCACTGCTGGGTGCTTTTCCCTGTTCCCTGAGGTCAGAGAGTTTATGCTCCTTCATTGACTTTATCATTTTACCACCTAAGTATACCCTTTCAATCATGAATTTTTTTAATTTTCTGGTTTATTTTTGAGCTACCTATGAATGAAATCTTACCACACTTTATATGACTTGCTTTTCCCTCAATGTTGTCTTAGTGCTTTGCTTTTTTTTTTGGTTGAGGCAGACTCCCACTCTATGCCCTAAGCAGAGTGCAGTGGCATCCTAGCTCACTGCAACCTCACACTCAGGCTGTGGGCATCCTGCTGCCGTAGCTTCTGGAAGCCACTGGGATGACAGGCACTCAGAGAGGCACCTGACTGGGTTTTTCTTTTTTTTTTTT